TGGGTGAACCCATGGGTGTTGCATTAATTTGTTCATATACCTGGCTGTTGAAGATGAAGTGTGTGGTAAGGCATAGGTCTAGTAATTTTAGCATGTTATCCTTGTCTCACTGGAGGCTTGTGTTTTCAGATTGTCCAGTAATGTGGCCAGTGTGTTCTTTGCTAGTCTCCTATGTCCTCTAGTTTTGGACTCCCCCGACTCAGGGACCTTGGCTATTCACTTTATCCGTGCTCCTCAGCCTGCAACGCTCCAGGGAAAATAGCCCCAGCCTATTCAGCCTCTCCCTATAGCTCCAACATCCAATTTTTTTCTGAACCCTTTCAAGTTTCACAACATCCCTTCTATAGCAGGGAGACTAGAATTGCATGCAATATTCCAAAAGTGGCCTATCCAATGTCCTGTACAGCCACAGCATGACCTCCCAACTCCTATACTCAGTGCACTGACCAACAAAGGTAAGCGTACCAAACGCCGCCTTCATTATCCTATCTACCTGCAACTCCACGTTCAAGCAAATATGAACCTCCACTCGAAGGTCTTTTTGTTTAGCAACGCTTCCCAGGACCTTACCCTTAAGTATACAAGTCCTGCCCTGATTTTCCCTTCCGCACTGCAGCACCTCACATTTATCTAACTTAAACTCCATCTGCCACTCCTTGGCCCATTGGTCCATCTGATCAAGATCCCGGTGTTCTGTGAGGTAACCTTCTTCGCTGTCAACTACACCTCCAATTCTGATGCCATCTGCAAACACTAGCTATACTTCCTACATTCATATCCAGATCATTTATAAAAATTACGAAAAGCAGTGGACCAGCACCAATTCCTGCGGTACACCGCTGGTCACAGGCCTCCAGTCACCTTTGGACTGTGAGAGGAAACTGGAGCACCCAGCAGAAACCCACGCAGACATGTGGGAGAACATGCAAACTCCACACAGGCAGTTGCCCAAGGATGGAATCAAACCCGGATCCCTAGTGCTGTGAGGCAGCAGTGCTAACCACTGAACCACTGTGCCATCCTGTATAAACACTGTGTAGATCATAGATATCGTGTGTGCGGGTTGTGGATACTTGATGCTGATTACAGATATATAAACACTGTGTAGATCACAGAGACTGTGTTTGGGTTATAGATACACAATTCTAAATATAGATATATAAGCCACATTGTAGGTTGTAAACCAAAAACATATGATTTGCAGCTGCCTGGGCTGATTATAAATATACAAATACCATGTAGATCATGGACCCTGTATATAGGGTTATAGATACATACAGTTGATTATACATATATAAACACCACATAGATCATAGGCATTCCATGTATAGGGTTGTAAGTATGCAGTGCTGATTAAGGGTATATAAACACTGTGTGAAATTATAGGTACATGGTGCTGCCTATAAATATTTAAACCCCATATGTATTGTAGACATTGTGTGTGATATAGATTCCCATATGGATTATAAATATATAAGCGTCATGTAGATAATAATGCATACATGCAGTGCCTGTAGATTCCCTGCACTGATTATAGATACATACACCATGTAGATCATAGGCACAGTATATGTGGTATTGATAACTGGTACTGATTATAGCCAGAGATTTCCCCGGTTTTCCTGCCTCTTTGGAATGAACGTCCTGAGGAAGTGGTGGATGCAGGTACAATTACAACGTTTAAAAGACATTTGGATAAGTACATGAACAGGAAAGTTTAGAGGGATATGGGCCAGGAGCAGGCAGGTGGGACTGGTTTAGTTTGGGGTTATGTTCGGCACGGACTGGTTGGACCGAAGGGTCTGTTTCTGTGCTGTATGACTCTATGTGGATGCTATAGGATGCACCAGTAAATATTCCTCCTGTACCCTCCACCGCCTTAAATATTTTTACCTGAGTGAGTAGTTTACCTAGATAAGACTCAGGAACACAATCTGGCAACCGTATCACTGAGATGTCTGTGCAGCTGGCCATGGAAGAAACGCTGCACGTTTGTTCAAAATGTCACAGAACTAGCACCTGCTCAGCCCCAGACAGAAGATGATTTTAAGGTGTAAGCAATTAATAACTTTGTGAAAATGGACAAAACGGCACAAAGATAGCAGGAAGGTTTGTTGGAAATGCTCAATAAACTTGATCGAAGTTTGGGGGAGTTCTCAAATATTATTAATGTCATGCTGATTCCAGCATGCACAACCTGTCTGGCTCTCTCCATAGAGAGATTGGCAGCTGCTGTGAAAAGGTAGGGCCATCAGAATACTCAATGGCTGGCAGAAATTCATGCAGACCTGAACTTCATTGTTTTAACATCAGCAGCAAGGTGACAGGGCCATAAGGGACTTTGACTGTACTCCAGGTGCCCCTTCCTCACAAGGAAGAAGGTTAGTGCCAGCAGACTACATAAAGTTCCCCCCGACGACTCTTCCCAGGATACTTGAGAGATGCCTGGCCCCTTCACTCCACCATAGCTGTGACCCTCAACCCTGTGGAAGCTGAAACCTAGGAGTGTGAGCCTGCATCTGGACAGGACATGCTCACTCTGTCTGGACTCTCTAACAACAAATTCTCCCAAAGTTGTTTGCCCGAACATCTAAGGCCAACTGGTGACACAGCAAGGCGGTTAATATTAATGTTAACAATTGTTTGAAGGCTTCGCAATGTCTGGTACTCCCACATTCAAGGATGAGATCCTGTTCTGCCTCGATGGGCTTCAGGTAAAGAGTAGCACTCCTCCACATAAGGTTTTAACACGTTATAGCGCTAAAGAATATTCTTGATCCGATCGATAAAATGACAGTCAAATCACAAATACGCGGGAGAGGGCAGGCTCCTTTCAACTCAACTGTAGACCCTTGGAGTGCACCTAGACATGGGATGTTAAAGAGAAATAAAACCTTCTGAGAGCACATGGGTGACACATCATTGTAAATGGAATATCACAATACCCCTAGAAATGATCATAGATATTTCGTAATCAACCTGCTCAGAGATGATATCACATACACCTCTGAAGCCGGTGGGACTTGAACCCAGGCCATTTGGCTCAGGAGTAAAGACGTTACCACTGTGCCACAATACCCTATGAAGTGATTATATTGTCATGTAAATCATAGAAACCAGGTGTGTATGGGTTATGTATACTTGCGGCTGGTCATAAATACCTTGTGGCACATAGAGATGTTTTGTGGGTTATAGATACATGGTGTTAATTATAATATGGCATGTCAAAACCAGAACTGCATGCAGTCCTCTTTAAGTAGCCTAACCAAAGTTCAATATGGATTTTGCTTCAAGTTCCTACTTTTCAATTCTGTCCTACCAGAAATAAATCTTAGTGCTTGGTCTATCATATTATTGCTGGTTAGGATACTGTGTGCTGTGTGCCCCCTGGTGTACCATAGGTTCAATTCAGTTGTAGATTGTTTGTTTGTGTTGTACAACCAGCAGGACAAAAAGCCCAGAGTGTAACATCACTCAGCAGTGACCTGACCCCCTCCGACTGCTGAGATTGTGTTGCTGTGCTGTAATGGTGAAAATTACTTGGTATAGAAACTTTGGCCATTTCCTTCATTAGCTGTTCATAGACCTGATGTAATGAATAGCATGCTTGGTACCAAACAATTATGTTTCCAGGCAGATTATCCTTTAACAAGCCTCATTCCCATTAATGCTTTAATAGTGTGGGAAAAACCTGAAAGCACCTGTTAATAATAAACTGTTGTGCGATTTTCCAATTTTTTTCTCTCAAGTTGGTTCATATTGACATGTTAATTTAAACTCCACTTAGTTTAGATGTCTCACCCTGTTGGAAGATAAAGTGGATCAAAAATTTGACCACAAGACCCATTTGTTTGGCTTCTAAAAACATTTCCATTGATTTCATCTAGTGAGAAGGTCAAGCAGTTACCTTCAGCGTTCCTGCATTAGGAGAAAATTAAATTATGAGATTATGTTCTTAACTGATATTGGAGAAGTTTTTTAACATATTCAGGGATGTGGGTGTCGTTTGCTGGGCCAGCATTTATTGCCCATCCTTAATGGCCCTTGAGAAGCTGGTAGTGAGCTGCTTGCTTGAACCACTGCAGTCCATTTAGTGTAGCCATGCCCACAGTTCTGCTAGGGATGCAGTTCTGAGCCAGTGACAATGGATGAACAGTGATATAGGATGACAAGTGAGTTTGTTATCAAGTGGCAGGAAAGAATAAGCTAGATTCAACTGTGATCCTTCTGTGGTTGAGCAGCTTGCTAATACATTTAAATGAAAGCCAAATAGTGTGGACGCTGGAGATCTGAAATAAAAAGCAGAAAGTTCTGAAAAACTCAGCAGATCTGGTAACATCTGTGGAGAGACGTGAGAGTTAACATTTCGAGTCCAAATGACTTTTCCAAAGAACTAAGTCTGCTGATGCTTACTGTCTTGGCTCACATGCAAAGAACTTGCACTTAATTGAGTTTCTGGCACTTGCAGACAAGCTGCACTTTATCACAATTTACTGCCTTGAGGAATGGAGATTTTAAATAAAAACATTATTCCTTTTTACATTCAACTGGATCACCACCTTTTTGACCAACATAGAATCAGTGAAACATTTCTTTCATTTCAGTGATATTTATGCAGATTTTTCAGTTTCCTTCTTTCCCTAAAGGTGTACAGTCTTTGGCAGGGGATGATTCCACAGGGGGTTAACTCCAGCACCACGATTCTGACCATTGTTTGTGGCCAAGTGTGTTGTTCAAATTGCTCTGTTTTTAGCCAACATCCGTACACTTGTATTTCAATGTGTGGCCTCTGCTTAATAATCAGCAGCAAAAGCCTCTCCCTTCTCCCTAACCTTCCATTTCCCACTCCTTTCCATTGGCACTGAAGTTAAATGTGTGTAATTAATACACTGAATATTGGTGCAAACTGAGGGGGAATTGAACCTCCCTCATGGAGAACCTATAAATAAACATGCATTCTGATTTTTTGATGCATCTTCTAATTATATCATTTCGCCATCAGTTACAGGAACTCGATTTATCCAACAACAAAATATCAGAGGTCCGAGGGTTGTCTTTACTGGAAACTTTAACAGTAAGTGATGGAAAAAAATTAGCAACTATAATGAAGTTAACCCATATATTTTGCCAACACTGGTTGATTTGAATTGTGCTGCTTTTCTGTTTCTGATGCAGTCAGTCAACCTCTCTGGGAATGTTCTACGCTGTACTGAATGTCTTGGATCTCTTTGGTGAGTCTGGCATCATTCCATTAAACTGTTAAGATAGGTCAAATGAGATCTTTATTCTATTTGTTCCACAGGCTGTGCCCACCTGCCTCAATCATGAATTATTTGCCACTCTCCTCCTTCATTAAAACTTTGGATTCGCATTGTGGTTAGAAATACTGCAGAACAGATCTGTCAATGGAGGAATATTTCCTGTGTTCGTTAGGTGTGGCAAGTCTGTAACCATAACTGATATCTTGACCCTTTTTTTTTTGCAATACTGCATGGAGAGAATCTTCCCCAGTATATACCTGCAGCCCTAGGTCCTCATTTGCAGTCTGTGCGTATTGATCCAGTCTCTCTTCTCAGTAGGGTTTCTATTTATATTTTAATAACCTGACCAGCTTCATCCTTGAATTATATTTACATGATGCTGCAAATTAAGTAAATTAACTAAACTACTACTGAGCTAGTGTTGCCTCTCCTGGACTGCAGTCTGTCATTCGGTCCAAATCTGATGGCTGTTGAAGCTATTGGGCATCTATTTCATGCTCCATTATACATAAAAATCACTATTAAATGATCAACAGTCCCATGGTTTCATTTTAGGCATTTGATATTCATCCAAGTGTTTATTGCAAAACCAGTTATCTAAAATTTATTCCCTTCTTCATAAGCGCTAATCTTTCTCATTTGTTTGCAGACCAGATGGGGTATTGGTAGATAATAACTCATCTTGTCCTTGCGTGCTTCCAGCTGCTTTCCAATATGCTGTTAGAAAATGTATTTACGTTTTTATTGTTATTACTTTCATGTGTCAACCTTCCTAACTTCATGCTGAGCAAGTGAGCCACTGAATCCCTAAAACTGTCACCACCTCTTGCAAATACAGCTCTGTACTCTGGCTGCCAAGCAGTACACTGTGTAGCATTACAAAATACTGAATAAGGATGACGCTATAATTTACAGGCTGTGTTTGTCTTTTGAATTAACCTCCACCACCTGAGCATTAAATTATTCATAAATGCATGTAAATTGAGGCTGAAAAGGGTGTGGGTGTGAGTGAGGTGGGGGTGTTAAGGAAAAGAATACTGAGAACAATGAATGTAGCAGTTTAGACTTGTGTTGAAGGGATGTTATCTATGCCTGTTACCCTTCGAGTGAAAATGTCTTCTTTAAATGGTAACCTTTGGCAAATGTATCAGATGGTGATTAATTGTTGACTGTGTATTAGACTACAAAGATCATCTTGTACTAAAACTGTTAAACATAGAATCCCTACAGTGTGGAAACAGGCCCTTCGGCCCAACAAATCTACCCAACCCTTGGAGCATCCCACCCAGACCCATCCCCCTATAACCCAAACACCCCTGAACACTACGGGCAATTTAGCATGGCCAATCCACTTAGCCTGCACATCTTTGGACTGTGGGAGGAAACCCACGCAGGCACGGGGAGAATGTGCAAACTCCGCACAGACAGTCGCCCGAGGCTGGAATCGAACCCGGGTCCCTGGCGCTGTGAGGCTGCAGTGCTAACCACTGAGCCACCGTGCTGCCCCTTAACCTTATTGAAACAAAGGCTTCTTCCTGTCCCGCAGGCCCGACCAGTCCCCCTCCACTGACACCCTTGTCCACTTAGATGAACTCGTCCTCACCCTTAACAACTTTTCCTTCAATTCCTCCCATTTCCTACAGACAAAGGGGGTGGCCATGGGTGCCCGCATGGGCCCAAGCTATGCCTGACTCTTTGTAGGATACGTGGAACAATCCCTCTTCCGAAGCCATGCTGGCCCTATCCCCCACCTCTTCCTCCGTTATATTGATGATTGTATCAGTGCCGTCTCGTGCTCCCACGAGGAGCTCAAACAGTTCATCCACTTTACTAACACCTTCCACCCCAACCTTAAGTTCACCTGAACTGTCTCTGATACCTCTCTCTCCTTCCTGGACCTCTCTGTTTCCATCTCTGGCAACCACCTGGAAACCAAAATCTATTTCAAGCCCACCGACTCCCACAGCTACCTAGAATACACCTCCTCTCACCCACCTTCCTGCAAAAATACCATCCCCTATTCCCAATTCCTTCGCCGCCGCTGCATCTGCTCCTGAGATGACGCATTCCAGTCCCGGAAATCCCAGATGTCCTCGTTTTTCAAGGTCCGCAACTTCCCCTCCACAGTGGTCGAAAACGCCCTCGACCGCATCTCTTGCATTTCCCGCAACTCATCCCTCACACACCCTCCCCGCAATAACAACAAAAACAGAATCCCCCTCGTCCTCTCATACCACCCTACCAACTTCCGGATCCAACGCATCATCCTTCACCACTTCCGCCACCTGCAATCTGACCCCACTGCCAAGGGCATTTTTCCCTCCCCACCCTTATCTGCATTAATGAGGTACCACTCTCTCCGTGACTCCCTTGTCCGCTCCACACTCCCCACTAGCCCCACCACCCCCGGCACTTTTCCCTGCAACCGCAGTAAGTGCGACATCTGCCCCAACACCTCCCCCCTCACCCCCATCCCAACCCCAAGAAAACCTTCCACATTAAACAGATATTCACCTGCACATCTGCTAATGTGGTATACTGTATCCGCTGTTCCCAATGTGGCCTCTACATCGGGGAAACCAAGCGGAGGCTTGAGGACCGCTTTGTGGAACACCTACG